ATTGCAAAAAGACTTGAAACTAAACCTGCTCGCTACTCGATAAGAAAAACTATGATGAAGCCATTGTTTATTAGTCAGGGTCGATATGAGTTTAATGCCAACCTATTTATGGATCAGATTCCTAGACGTATTACATTAGGGCTCGTTTCTAATTCTGATTATGTAGGAGATATTAAACGTAGCCCGTTCAACTTTCATCATTTTAATGTTCGCGAGATTAGTATTATTGCAAATGGAAGAAATTATCCACAAGCCCCGTATGATTTTGATTATGAGAATGGAAAATATATTCGTGCTTTTAATGATATGAATGAGGCAGTTGGTTTAGCAAATTCAACGGAGAGCAATGGAATAACTTTACAGCAATATGGAAAAACACATTGTATCTATGTTTTTAACCTAACAAATAGCGGAGAAGATCAAGGAGGAACTTTTGATTTAATTAAAAATGGAACAACGGCTGTAAATATTAAGTTTAGCAAACCTGTACCTGAAGGAGGAATAATGCTTATAGTAATGGGAGAAGCAGATTCACTTATAATGTTAGATAAAAATAGAACAATCGCGAGTGATACCACAATATAAATTCTAATCTTTTCATATTGTAGTAATTTTAAATTAGATAAACTTAATAACTTTTATATCTTATTTTTGATATAAATAAAACATTACCACATATTTTTAAAATTTTTCAATCAAGAAAAGTATAAATATGAAAAAATTTTAAGAAAAATCATTTAAAAATGAAAAATCTTTTGAAAATAGTTTTTCTGATTAGAATATTTGTTCCACTAGTTGAAGCATTATCAACTGATGGTACTATAAAATTAGATAATTTACCAGAATATTCTGAACTTGTTAAATATTACAGAGGTGAAAATATTACAGGAAACCCTCTTTTACCTTCAAAAGAAAAAATTGTTGCCCCGGTACCAAATTTTATTAATTTCGATAATCTGCCATCACTTTGCAAGGAAAGTCCAAAAGACAACAATTTTTATGGACATGTATTCTGCTGGGGAATGATATGTTTGTATGCCATGTTATTAGCTAGTTTGGTTATTTATCAACTCCGATCAGTTCTGTGGTTCAAATTCAATTTTAGCAACAACAATGTACGCAAGTCAGATTACTCAAATTCTGAGGACAAATCCTCAAACGTCGCGAATCTTCCTAGGATGTTTTCCGTGTAATCGACTACCTGATCCTAGTTTATCAAAAGGGAAATTTTTAATAGTAAATTTGGATCCTTATGGATATGAAGGTTCTCACTGGATCGTTATTTACATAAAATATAATGATGAAGTGATATATTTTGATAGTTTAGCTCTTCCTACTAGTATATGCATAATAAATTCGTTTCTAAGAAATTTTCCAAAAATTATAAGAAATCTAAAACGCTATCAAGCACCTTTCGCTAGAACATGTGCCCATCATTGTATATCTTTTATATATTTTTATTCAAAGAATTATAATTTTGAGCAATATCTTGAGTTTTTAGACAAACAATCTAATCCTGATTTATTTGTTTTTAATATTGTGAATAAAATGATTACATAAAGTTTTTGTAATTTAGATTTTTAAATTTCTCAATTAAGATTTTTTGAGATTTACTTTCTTTTGATTTATTTTTTATGCATGAATAATTATAATGCTTGAAAATTCTTTTATGTCATGCACGCATATTTAATAAATTTTTGAATTTAATTTGTTTTAATCTCTTTTTATGACATGCTTGCATATTTAATTAAAATTTTTGAATTTTAGTTTCCTTTGATTTTTTTATGACATGCATGCATATTTAATTAAAATTTTTGAATTTTAGTTTCCTTTGATCTTTTTATGACATGCATGCATATTTAATTAAGATTTTTGAATCCTAGTTTCCTTTGATCTTTTTTATTATTGCGTGCATATTTAATTAAAATTTTTGAATTTTAGTTTCCTTTGATCTTTTTATGACATGCATGCATATTTAATTAAGATTTTTGAATTTTAGTTTCCTTTGATCTTTTTTATTATTGCGTTCATATTTAATTAAGATTTTTGAATTTTAGTTTCCTTTGATTTTTTTATGACATGCATGCATATTTAATTAAAATTTTTGAATTTTAGTTTCCTTTGATCTTTTTATGACATGCATGCATATTTAATTAAGATTTTTGAATCCTAGTTTCCTTTGATCTTTTTATGACATTCGTGCATATTTAATTAAGATTTTTGAATTTTAGTTTCCTTTGATCTTTTTATTATTTTCGTGCATATTTAATTAAAATTTTTGAATTGTAGTTTCCTTTGATCTTTTTATGACATTCGTGCATATTTAATTAAGATTTCTAGATTTAGTTTTTTTTTGATCGTTTTATGACATTCGTGCATAATAATTAATTAAGGGACCGGACTATAAATAGTTGCTTTTTATCTTTAAAAATTTTAAAATTAAATAAAAATATTTTATAGTCAAAAGTATCAATAAGTTTTATTCACAATGGAACAAACTTTTGCCACTTTTTTGAATATTAATGATATTAAACAGGAGGATATTAAACAAGAGCTATTGAACAAAATGCCGGGAAAAGTTGATGAACAGAATGTTTTTGAGGTAACTATTCAAAAATCAAATTTATAAAAAAATTTTAGGGGGTTGCCGAATTTTGGGATTGTTCCTGGCATCCTCAAACAAAAGAGCTCAATCAAATGATTAAAAATGGGGAGAAATTGGATCCCTCTACTTTTTTCATATTTTTGGACCACAACTATGAGACATCGACATGGTGTGATCAATGTCGCAAAACTTTACTTGAAATGAAGCAAGAAGAAATTTTAGAAGTCGGAGAAGGAAATACATACAAATATAAATTTTTTGTATGCACTGATTGTGCTCAGATAATAAAATATGCAACTTTTTATTATTAAATTGATTAATATTATTTCCTTATTATAAAATTCTTAATCTAGCTAATATTAAATAATGTTTTAAGTATTATTGTTTATAACATTGTTTATCTTGATTAAAAATTGTTACAATAATTATTAATTTATTTTGGGTGTGTATGGTGATAAAATATCAGTTGACTTGCAATTCTTCTTAAAGCATGCTTCACACATTTCAAATTTAACTTCAATCTTATCTTCTTTTCGAACCGCTTTGTCACTCTTCTTAAAAACATTGTCACGACATTCTGAAATTTTAAATATTTTAATAAAAAGAAATGATATTAACCTGCACAAAGTGAGAACGTTAGAAGAAATTTTCCTCGGAATAATTTCCAAAAAGGTTCATTAGTAGTTTTAGTTTCTGAATTATTAGTAGTATTCTTTTCAAGTTCATTGGTAATGCCTTCCATTTAAGAATTATTTTAAAAAATTTTGTGAATGTGCATGAATGGTTAGCCAGAGTATTTATATCGGTAATTTAGGGGCGGTCCTTAAATTTTTAACGTAAAATGATGAGTATATAAACACTAATTAATATTTAAAGTTTATTTCATTTAAAAACTTAAAATGGTCCTTATAAGTGAAGAATGTGCTAATATTCTATGTTGCACTGTTAAATCACTTGTAACTCTTCTAAATCATCCTGAAAATAGAAAATTAATTCTAAAAAAGCTTCAAGGCTGTAAGGTTGCAACAACATATACTGATAAAAACGGAATGAAAAAAAGTTTTACAATAAGTGGTTTATCAAAAGAGGGTGCAAATGTTATACCAGCATATGGTAGGCTTTCAAAACCCTTCAACATTTCTGTGACAGCACATTATTATGCTAAACATCGTATCCGACTTCAAAATCCTTATCTTCATTGTATTATCGAACAATTCCCAAACAAAACTGGATCATTTAAAGAAAATCGATATTACCCCTTGGAATTGCTTGAGCTTGTTAAAGAGGAAGAAAAAGAAGAAAAAACTCTTAATTTATCTGAAAGTTTCAAAGTTACAAGTAAAAGAGTGCCTTCACCAAAAGATAAATTAATAATTGTGGATGAAGATGATGAAGTAAATTTTGACCAGGATATATTGAAACCGAGTTATTACTGTAACGGATGGTGATTTAAAAATTAAAATTATACTTGCATTCAAAATGTTTTATAAATACAATTAAATAAAAATAACAATAAAATTAATTAAATATCACATAAAAATACAATTAAATATGTCCAAAATTTAATACAGAAAAATCGGAAGGTCTTATAATTCCCTTCCCGATGAAAGGTCTAGAAATTTTATGACGGGATAGAGTTGAAACATTTAAATTTTTTATTGAGGGGCATAAAAACGATGGGTACAATATTTTAATCGGTTCATTAGTTCCTGTTTTTGCATATTTGATGACCTGTCTTTTAAAAGTTTCATATCTTAATCCTTGGTTGTTGATGACATCGTGGTTTAAAGTTATTCCTCTTACTTTTAAAATATATTCATATTCATTTTGTTGTTTTATTTGATTACTTTTCTTTTTCATTTTTAAACCATATTGCTTTGCTCCACCAGAAACATATTCTATGATATCATGCTTTGGGTACTCATCGGTAAATTGCCCAAGATGAGGCCCAAGACTCAGAGGGTTGACTCCTTCAGCATGTGCAAATATTAAGGAGTCAGTGTCTAATATTTAAAAATTTATCATGTACTAATTATAAAAAATTTACCCGTGTAAAGAAGTTTACACCCTTTAGTACGGACAACTTGTTGCATTGCACGAAGTAAATGGATTCTTGCTGCTGATGTCGTCCAGAGTGAAATAACTAAATATAATTAAATTAAAATAAAATTTTTTTACTAAAATATACCAATGTTTGAACACTCATGTTCTTCGATCCATTCTTTTTTCTTCATGTATGCAATCATTAAAATTTCTGGGGATAATTCATCAATACTTGTTATTTGAATTGATTTGTCGTTTACGAATTTTTGGTACTGTTCTGGGTCATCAGTTATTATACATTGAGAAAGACCAAAATTGCGAAGTGAAAATCGTCCCCCTAAAATAAAAATATTTATCCTGATTTAAAAAAGTTAAACATACAAAGATTATTTAACATAAGTTTGGCCTGGGTCCTCCGACCCTTGTTGGGATTCATTTTACTTCGTTCAATTTTAATGCCAAATTTTTTTATACATTCTTCAATAAACTGGTCTTCTGCTTCAACGTTGTCTTTGATGTTACTGTCAAAACCTGATGAATGTATTTTTTCAGCCATGAACTCTGAGATATAAGGTTGGAACAATTCAGAGTCCGATTTGTTGTACTCTAGTACTCGAAAGAGTTTTGTTACAGTATACCCTTCTTCTAGAGCAACATTTAATTCAATTGAAGTGCAAGTTGATACCCATCCTCTTTCTTCGTCGTTGTGTTTACATCGATACTTTTCTAATACGCCACCTTCAGGATACATTTTTCTAAAAGAAAAATATTTTTAAATATTTTTTTAAATATTTTTCAATAAAAATATTTATCTTACGCGCATTTTGCACACAGAGGAAAAAGAAGACGGGCATCATTTTCTAATTTCATTGGCAGAACGGGAACATCGATTTTTCTGGGAGGAATTATAAAAACTTTTAATATTGCAAGATTGTAGGTGTTGTCAATGGCTTTTGTCCACTTTACATTTTTATTGATGATGTGCACTTTAGGATGTCCAACTGGATATTTTGTAGTGACGTTGATAAACGGATACAAAGAAGTCACGTCTAAATATGATATCCGTTCTCCATCTTTGATTTTATGATGGAGTTTTAGTGGTCCAGTTCTTCCTCCATAGAAGCAACTTCTTATATCAATTGGCCCATCATCAATATAGCTGTAAAACATTTCTCTCATTTCTCGATCTTTTGCCAACATTTGATGTATTTCACACTCCCAGTAAATGTCAACACGAGCAATTTGAGTGAGTATAAATTCCAATCTAAATTATTTTTATTAAAAAATATATACATCAAATTTTACCTGTTTTTGTCATGTTCCCTCAAATATCCAGCAGTTTTTCCGTTGGGCATTAAATCATTATCATGGGGGAAACATTTAGGGCACCCATGCCAAACACATCCATTAACTTCTATACCATAATTCTCCTCCACAACCCAGCCGTCAAGTTGATAGTTACCAATTTTCTTCTCTCCACCGTCAGAGTTGACATTTTGGACGGTTACACCAAATTTTTCAGAGTACCATTTGAAAAATCGGAGGGCAAGAAGGCTTTGATTACCATCTACTTTATCATAGCCGCGTTCGGGTACGAGTGCCAAATGTTGTTCTTTAAGATGATTTGTTCTAAAATGACGCATACAAGCCGAAGCGATGGTCATTGCCTCACGTAAAACGTCAATTCCTCCATGCGCTTTAACTGATGCAGCCCTTTCTCCAATATTACGTTTCGACACCTCAGAAAATTCTTTTCGAAAAGTAATAAGCGCAGCTATTAAAATTTCGACATCGTTTGTGCAATAACTAGCCAAAGCTTCATCAAGGATGAAAGGTGTATTTTTGTGATGTTCATACCAAAGATCAAACATTTTCCTCTTTTCAGGCATCATTCCATTGGCGAGGTAGTCTTCCTTTGTTGGATATATTTCTTTACCGTAGTTTTCTGGACGATTGGCCATATGAGGGAAAAATGGTTTGTCTGCAACTTTTAGATCAAATGATCGTACAAGTGAGGCAAGCGGCATTGGCAATAGATTATATATACATCAAATTATATATACATCAATATTGGCAATAGATATATATATACATCAAATTATATATACATCAATATTGGCAATAGATTATATATACATCAAATTTTACCTGTTTTTGTCATGTTCCCTCAAATATCCAGCAGTTTTTCCGTTGGGCATTAAATCATTATCATGGGGGAAACATTTAGGGCACCCATGCCAAACACATCCATTAACTTCTATACCATAATTCTCCTCCACAACCCAGCCGTCAAGTTGATAGTTACCAATTTTCTTCTCTCCACCGTCAGAGTTGACATTTTGGACGGTTACACCAAATTTTTCAGAGTACCATTTGAAAAATCGGAGGGCAAGAAGGCTTTGATTACCATCTACTTTATCATAGCCGCGTTCGGGTACGAGTGCCAAATGTTGTTCTTTAAGATGATTTGTTCTAAAATGACGCATACAAGCCGAAGCGATGGTCATTGCCTCACGTAAAACGTCAATTCCTCCATGCGCTTTAACTGATGCAGCCCTTTCTCCAATATTACGTTTCGACACCTCAGAAAATTCTTTTCGAAAAGTAATAAGCGCAGCTATTAAAATTTCGACATCGTTTGTGCAATAACTAGCCAAAGCTTCATCAAGGAGGAAAGGTGTATTTTTGTGATGTTCATACCAAAGATCAAACATTTTCCTCTTTTCAGGCATCATTCCATTGGCGAGGTAGTCTTCCTTTGTTGGATATATTTCTTTACCGTAGTTTTCTGGACGATTGGCCATATGAGGGAAAAATGGTTTGTCTGCAACTTTTAGATCAAATGATCGTACAAGTGAGGCAAGCGGCATTGGCAATAGATTATAGGTGTCACGGAAGATTATACTGTTCTTCTTGTTCTTCATTTTCATTTCATATATTTTATTGCCTTTTTTCAATATCTCTGGTGTCAATCCTTGTTTAACTATTTCTTTTAGAGTGATGACAATATCAAATCTGCCACCAAAATGTGAAAAAGCTAATATGTCGTAATTTTGTGGTAGATCATTTAATATCCAATTTACAAAAGCTGCGAGTGGAGAATTACAAATTATCTTCTGATCAACAGTTGTTTGATTATAGGGTTGATGTGAAAAAGTAATAGTACGATTTTCTCCACAAATTTTACAATTAAAATTTTTCAAACTTTGTTGCCATTTACCGTTTGAAATACAATCAGGACACGAAACCTTTGCTGCAATAAAGTTTGGTTCATGTATTGCAGATAATTGTGTTGTTTCAAAGTCAAAAACAATAATTAAATAAGACTCAAATGGTTTTGGTTCCAAAGGTTTAATATAGCATCCACGTTTTTGATCATGAAATTCATTACATGTATTACAATGTTTTTCATTGCATACATGTCCTTTTCGTCCATTACGAGTGTTGTCATGGACATTCCAAATAACTCCACATTTGTTGCATTTTTTGGAGATTTTACAGAAACCATTAGTTAAATGTTGTTTGTAGCAATCATTATTATTAAAATTTTTAAAACATAATTTACAAAATTTGGAAAAAATATTGTCGGGTTGGCAAGGAAATTGAGGACCGACACGAGAGCAGTTGATGCAGCGTGCTTTACAAGTGATAGAATGATGTTGGGCTTTATTGTAGACACACTTGCAGGAAAGGCAGTAATAAGTTCCAAATAATCTACCATTTTTCTTTACAGCATAAAAATGCTTTTCAGCATCATTATAATAAAGAAGAATTGGTGTGTCGTAATCTTCAGGTCCATATTCAAATTCGGGTTTATAATTGCCACGTTCACCGAATATAAAAACTTTAACAATACATTGATTTTTACAGTTAACGTTATTCCATTGATCAACTACACGTGGAATCCATTCATCAGCGTCGTATTCATTCAATCCAATTTGAGCCCCAACCTGATTCATTATTTCATATGTATCATTTTCAAAACGGCCAGACATTTCTTTTAGATTGTTAATGTAGTAAAAAAATTTTAAACGTGGCCAGTTGCATATATTTTGTATAATTGAAGCAATTAAGGCGAAAAATAGACAATGATTCATATTGTCAGGATTATTAAATTTTATCAGTGACCCTTTATTAATTTGATGTCGCACTTTTGGAATTTTACGAGCTGCACCACCAACAAGACGTCGTTTTTTGAATGAAATTTTATTTATTGTTGTTACAGTTATAGAAAATGGTGCGCCCCATAGAGTTAATTCGTCTTGCTTTTTACTTTGAGCGATGTGTTGACACCGGTTAAGCATGGCGTCAACAGTGTTATTTGATATATTGCTGAAAAATTAATTATTTTTTTCTAAAAATAAAAAAGTACCTGAAAGGAACCCAGATATCATATTCTAAAAAGTCACTGGTTAACGTACAAGCTAATTGTTGGGGTTCAACATTATTTCCCTTAGCATGTTCCATAGCTTCATCAACACAAAATTGGAAAATTCCTGAAATTGGTAATTTATTGAAAATAAGTTTTTAATTACCAGAGAGAAGAGACTCGGCATCGGCAGGAACATCCTTGATCATAAACTTTGAATACGTTTTTGTAACATTAAATTTTGAATTGTGCCATATTGAATCGTTTAATCGTTCAACATAACGTTCAGCATTGTAGCCACTTCCCTGTTGTAATCCTAGAAGATTAGCAATAAAGAAGTTTCGAGAATTTTTTGAAAGTTGTTGCATTTTAATAAAATAATTTTTAGTAAGTTTTCAGTAACCTTTAACTGAATTACAAAAAAAAATATTATTGTAACAATGATATAAATTTAAAAAATGGCCGCTTTTATATGCAAAATCCTATACCAAATTCTAATTTGACATTATTATCGGAAGATTAATTAATTATGCGCGTTTCAATAATTCAATAATCAATTATCATGCATGTCAAAAAATAAGAACAAAAAAAATTTAAAATTTTTAATTAAATATGCATGTATTTCAAAAATAGTAAATAAAACTTTAAATTACTAATTAAATAAGTATTTATGTCAAATAATAAAAGTAAATTAAAATATTTAATTAAATATGCTTGCATAATGCATGCAAATTATAAAAGATCAAAATACAATAAAATTCAAAAATCCAATTAAATATCCACAAGTAATAAAAATCAAAAATAAATTAATATTTTTTTAATAAATACGCACCAATCCATAAAAGATAAAAATTCAAACATCTTAATTAAATATGCAAACTTCAAAATGATTAGCTTTAAGAATAAAAAAATTGAATTAAATAAAATCTTTATTAGGCAATATGCCAAATCTATTTTATATAAATGAGAAAAAAGTGATAAAAATTAAAATGAGATATGGTGTAGTAGTTATTAATAATATTGAGCACGCGATAAATGATTAAGATACGTGAATTTTTCGAGAAAATTTTTAGGAAAATATTGAAATAATAATTTAAACAATGTTGGACAAAAATTTTAAAAATATATCGAAAAATTTTTCGAAAAGATAATATTTCGAAAAATAACTTCAACTAAATTAAACTTCAACTAAATAACTAATTATTTTCATAAAACTAAATTATATAAATTATTTAAATGATATAATATTTTTAAAAATGAACCCTTTTATAGACTAGCCCCTACACCAATTTTTTATGTTGTTTTAGTTTTAAGTAATTAATTATGCACGCATATCGTAAAAAGATCAAAAGAGAATTCAAATTTTTAATTAAATATGCATGCAGCCAAAAA